ACAAGATAGACTTACCCTATCTTCCTTTCCAATATTTTCCTGGTCCAAACCTCCTTTCACACGTATTAAAAAAAACCACTTACCTTTTGTACTCTGTCAGTAAATCTTTTTTGTTCTTGGAACACCAAACTCTGTTTAAAAAGTCCTTCCGTTTAAGCAAGAATGACATAAAGCCACTTTTAACACGGATCATACTGCAACAATACAATGGTTTAAGGGAAACCATTTGTTTTGTGCCCTGCTCATTACTTTGTCATGAACCATCTATCTGAACATGGCTGCAGACTGAGCATGAAATGGTAGGCAGACAATATCCTATAACTCTGATCAGGACTGACCAAAGGGATGTGACAAAGCTCACCCACACTTCTACAGTGGGTAATGAATGCCAAGCAATCTTTCACAGGAAGATGCCTTTGTGTGTTGCGGGCAGAAAATGGCAGCATTGTGGGTCTTCACCTTTTGTTGCTTTGTGAAGGAACCAGAAGTGGCTCATTTCTCCCAGAAGATGAGCAGGAAATGTGCTGGCGTTCAAAAGGGAAGCTGTCGGGTCAGTGTGCCGGTCTTTGAAGTGCATATATTTCTCTTTCTCCATTTGCCTGTGTCTGCATGTCTGCATTTGTAAGGACTGTCACCGGAGGCTGTGCCGAAGACGTTGTTGCCATGGAAACATATTCAAGTTAATGACAGGCATGAAAGGCGTGTTAAGAGACCAAACGTTTCTGTAAGGGTAGAAACAAACAAGTGTCACTTTAGACGTGTGTTTTCCTGTAGCGTTGCATCTCACTCTTATGTTTTTCTTTTTATATTTATAGCAGATTTATAACCACCTTTTGATTCTTTTTGCTGTGGTAGCATTTGGGGACATTTTGACCACACTGAGGTTTTGACCTCATCAAGAAGACACAATCCTTTAAAACATATGTCAAACTCAAGTACTGGAGGCCAAATGTAGCTCTTGATGGCATCTTATCTGGCCCCTAAGATGTTATTATAAATGTAAAATAGTTTATCACTTTAATTTTTTCAGTAATCTTTGATTTGTAAAAAGTGCAACAGAGAACGTCAAATGAGACCAATCAAATGCTTGTTGAGGAACCTGCAACCAAGAAAAGACGTCGGATATCTAACTTGAAGTAATGTAGATTCTGAAACGGCCCTTAGTTTGAAAAAGGTTTTAATTTTGACCCCCCTTTTGTAATTGAGTTTGACACACCTACTTTAAAAGATAGCAACATGCGGAAAAACTGCTAATTCGGTGTGTTTTTGTGCATTTAAACATGCACATTTAAAATCAGATCAATGAATTTTGACAGGTTGTGGCAAAAATATTTTGTTTGATTAAAGATGACTCAGTTTAGTTTTGCTTTTCAGAACGTATCAGTCAACCTGACCTGATTGTACTCAGGAAATCAAGCACACCCCCCCCCCCCCCCCAAAAAAAAGTGGTTACAACTGATTTTATTTTATTTTCCTATGGTTATCTTTGTCCAATTTTTTTGTAACGCCTCACCTTCATCACCAATTGAAAATTGCCATCTTCTCCACTAAGATTTTCATACTTTAAATCTTTTGATTTTAATAAAGTCACAGACAGGATATTCACTTGTGTCTAATCTTAACTAGTTATTTTAAACATTTGATCCAACAAATGAGGAAAGTCTGACATCAGCCTAATGAAAAGCCTCCTGTGATGTTAAAAAGATTTCAGTCAAGCAGAGAATAATATTGGAAGTCTTCCACACTCTGTGAATATATTAATTTGCACTTAAGAAGGAAATTTAGACGTGTTGGAAATAATAAAATAAGAAAGCCATATGAAATATATCAATCACAAACTACAGGAAACCTGTGAAACTGATAATAGCTTGAGAAGAGAAGAGACAGAAAATTAGAGCTTATTGTCAGCTGAGGTGAAATTAATGATTTTCTTGGGAAATGAGTAGAATTATGCAACCAAATATGTAAATTTAAATATTACCTATAAGCACAGCAATCCTAAATTAGAAAAAAAAAAAGGTCTGTTTGTTGATCCCCGTCACAGAACGAAAAGGGAACAATGGAAGTAGCCTCCATCCATGTGAGCATGAGTACTTCAAAAATAAGTGAGACACTGACTTACATTTTGGTATCTAGGTGTGAAAAAGGTCCCAATCAACAAATGGGTTCAACATCAAAATCCAAGATGACCACC